TGTGCACCATTGCCTTCAAGCTAAAACTGTTCTGTGATTGAGCAGCCATGGATGCGAAACGGGGGCTGATTATTTAAAAGTTGTTTCCCTGCTTCAAACTTGAATATAAATACAAAGTGAAAATCCATAAGACATAATATAACATACAGAGAAGTAACTTCCGATTAAACATTTAAAAATAGCTCAACAACATTACAAGTAAACTCTATCAAAACAAGGATGCATCGCAGAATGAAGCTATATTTGGAGGGCAACTTACCAAGAAAGGCACTTCAGTTGTGGAACTCAAGCATTCAATGCCATGAACAAAAAAAAATCCTTTGAGAGAACTTAGCCACCCTCACAAAAGTATCTTTTCACTTTCAGGAAGAAACCGAAAAGACGAAGGTAATTCCGCAGATACCCATAAGTCGGAGCAAATTCCAAAATAATAGCCAAAGAAATGTGCGAATGTGTTTGATATGTAAAAAGGAATTTTCATGAGAATTAATTTCAAAGGTGTAGTTTATGCGAGTGTGATGTCTATATATATATATATTAAAATGTGGGAACCGTATACTTTTTCCTTTTCTCAATTTTATGAGAAGTCTGATTCATTATTTTTGAGTGACTAGCTTGATTCGTTCTAAACTTTCATACATGGTAACAAGAAGGTGGCGGTAGAGTTGCTACGTGAGGGAGGAGAATATTTGACACGCCTTGGTTCCGGTGTACTCTGAACACAGGGATGGCCACGTGCTGGCTGACACTCAAGGGGTGACGCAAGCCATCCTACCGCGCTTATGCTAAGAACGTGTAAAAATGCATGCAAAATGGCGCCGAATATAATTCTAGCTTCATCACTTTCTCATTTCTCAACCAAATTGAATGATTCAAGAACCAAAATCATACCTTGTAACGAGACGAACAGATTGGTACCCTTCACAATGGCTAACTCGCCGGGATTTGGACGGAAAATAGTCGGAAAGTAGTCTGAGCTTCGATCCCGACGATCGGAAAGGAAATTCAAGGCGTGGTGGCTTGTTCGGGTTCGTGAGGACGAGAAGAAGCTGGTGGTATCCTTGGTTTGCCGGGAGGGCTGTGCACAGTGTGTGTACAGTGCTCTGCACAGTGAAAGCGGGAGAGAGAGCGTGAGGGAGGAGAGACAGAGGTCTGCGTGGAAAACAGAGAAAATGAGTGGAAAAACAGAGAAAACGAAGGAGAGTGGAAGACGGAAAAAGGAAAAGGAAAAAGGAAAAACGAAAAGGAAAAAGGAAAAGAAAGGTATTGGTTAGGAGAAACTTTTTCAAGAGACAGCTCGATATAACAATTCTCATTATATAATTTGTTAAATTTTCTTGAAGTGTTCAACAAATTATATTATTACACTTAGTATATCGAATTGTATTTCTAACACATTGAAAATTTTCTTGTCGGTAAGAACTTCTCAAGGAAAAGCCTCGGTTAATACCAAAAACGTGGACCTCACACCATTCTTTAATAATTGAGATTCCTTGTACAATCTCATAATTTTATCATACAAATTCCGAATTCAATGTCGTCTTCGCCCATGTCCACTTGCTCTCATAGTGAAGAGTACGACTCGAATGAATGTCGGCACTAACTCGAATGAATGTCGTCTTCGCCCATGTTCACTTGCTCTCATAATTTGATATGAAAAATATTTTGATACATAGAATTTGATAGCCAAAATGTCGGCACTAACTTCAAAAGACAACAGAATCCACGAGCAATATCGCTAGATTACCAAAAATATATAGAATAATAATTTTGCAACCCCAAAAGGAGGACATACAACGGTACTGAAAAACTAGAAACAATATTGTATCATTTTCTGGTCCGATCAATTCCAGTTTGCAGAAACGAAAGCATCATCATCTTCCAGATATTAGATGACCTAGCTGGAGTCATTGTTCTTTGTCCTTGGCTGCCCAAGGAAGCAGAGTCACGGAAAAGAAACGAAGTCACCAAAAGATGAACAGCCTGCAGCAAGTAACAATACAAGAGAGAAACAACAATTAGAACAGTACAGTAACACCGTATAAAAATACTTTGAAGCTTAAAAACTAGAAGCAAAAGAAAAAAACTAAATGAATAGTTTCGATATCTTAGGCATGAAGTGAAAAAGAATCTAAAAATCGAGAACCAAGAACGCAGCGAAGAAATGAAGTCACCAAAAGATGAACAGCCTGCAGCAAATAACAAAACAAGAGAGAAACAACAATTAGAATAGTACAGTAACACCATATAAAAATACTTTGAAGCTTAAAAACCAGAAGCAAAAAAAAAAAAAAAAAAAAAAAATTAAATGAATGGTTTTGATATCTCAGGCGTGAAGTGCAAACGAATCTGAAAATCGAGAACATAGAACGCAGCAGCGAAGAAAAAGTACGAAAGCAATGACTAACCTCCTCCTTGCCAACATGAACAGTTTGGGACTCGATGTCAGAGAAAGGTACCTGCAATTCGTTTAGAACAGAAACGCCAAAGAAGGGAGACATAGGCCTTACTAACACTGTCAGTTATCATAAACATTAACGATCCAGTTACAAATCCATGCTGAGAGGAACACCAGGACTCGGAGTAGTTAAGTTTAAGGTTAACAACCTTCGCAGGTGTCTTATAAGAGATACTACTTGAATAAGTTGACAGCACATCCTTTCTTGTAGCAATATGTTAATATCTATTCGGATCCCAAACTGTTAATAAACATAGAGGACAAATCAAACCAGAATCAAAGTGTAATGGAGTACGATCCAATATTACACTTTCAATAACTAAATCGTTCGAATTTTTTTAATCGGCTGTTGGCTATTCCAAGAAATTTGGATGGCACATTATTCACTTCCGATGAAAAAATCAAGAAACAAAGTAGACGTGAGTTACACTAGTTAGCTATTCAATATGTTGATAACAATTTGAATTTTTGTTTGAATAAGATATATTGTCATGTAAAAGAAAACTTACAAATTTAGAATTGGTGCCTGAATCTTCACATTAGTTTACAATTTGTCCTTGAAATTATCAAAATTTGCACCACTGTGCCTGCCATAAACTTTTGTCAAAAATTTAGTTAGTTTCATGATATGGCACATATATGCGTCCCACATTTCAAATTCTAAATATTTGTTAAACGACCAAATCTAAACTATGATGAAAGTTTGGGACCAAATCTAAAACTTGGATGAAGAATTGAAGAGCAATCATGGATCCCATTATGATATTAGATTGTTGTTGTGGCAGGCGGTGCCGTTATGACGTCATTGGACCCAATCGAGGCATGCACAACTCATGCACAAAATCCATGCGCAAGAGAGAAAATTTGAAGCAAATAATATCTTTTTACAATGTTTTGAAAAAAAGTAGACATAGTTAAATTTATGGTATCTTCATCAAGTCCTTGAAAAACATCAAACGTTCATCATGTGGGATGATAATGAATCTTTGACTTGTTTGTAAACAAGATTATCATTGTATTAGTGTGAGGGTAGTATTGGAAAGTATGTGAGGTCTATTAAAATAGATTTTGATTTAAAAAAATAGATGTACAGTCTTTAAGTATGTAAGGTGCCGTCAACAAAAATGAGGGTTGTATATAAAACAAACTTTGTTGAATCCATAAACCTTAATTGTTAAGTCCATAAACCTTAATTGTTACAAGTGGTTTATAGCTCAGTTGTTCAAGAGCTTCATTTTACACCTGAGATCTGCATCCGATTTCTATCCGGTAATTAAGATGAATTTAGTATGAATTATTGTATCGTTTGTTAAAAAAAATAATTTAGATAAAAAATGAACTTGTGTAAGGACCAATTCTTTTTTTTTTTTGTATATTATTTTTAAAGAAAAAAGTTAATATGACCCCAAACAAGTTCTTGAGAACATTAGATTACTTGCATGATTTTTTTTTTTTTTATATCTTGGGCTCATATTTTTCTGAAGTTGAATTTTCTTGCTGATATTTTAGTTGCTTTGGTCACATTATTCATGATGCTATATTTGGATAGGTCTTTATTCACTATTACTATAAATATTTTTTATTCGATTGTGCTAGATGCAGTTGTGACTGAAGGTTTTTCTCATTGAATAAATTTAGAAACGATTTTATTCACACACTTATTTTTAAATGTAACACCTTATTTTTATCTGTCACACACCAATCTTATTTTCGATCGTTTAAGGAGATGTATTCAATTGAGAATTTGAGAAGTTTTAATGGATTTTTACGAAGTTTAACTGATTTGTAAATATTTTATGTAAAATTTTGATTTAATTCCCTCGAAATCTCATAGGAAGATGTGAGATTTACGGATGTTTAAAATACACTACAAAATCTCTCCAATTCCCTCTAATTCCTCAACTTTTCCAAATTCTCTAAATTCAATGTTATAAACTTATTTAAAATTCTAATTGAATACACCCAGATTTCTAAGGATTTTAATAAACTATCTTAAAATCCTGATTAAATGCCCATTGAATTTCAGATAATCACTTAAAATTCTGATTGAATACCTTTATATTCATTAAAAGAATTAAAATTACTCAAAACCCCAATTGAATACACCCCCTAAATGTATGTGTAAAATCTATCTTGAAGTTATATTTCCATTTTAAGGGAGGTATATTGAGAATTTGAGAGATTTTAATAGATTTATAAATTCATGAATTTTTATGGAGTTTAATTGATTTGTAGATATTCCATATAAAATTTTGATTCAATTTCTTTAAAATCTTATGGGGAAATGTGAGATTTGTTAATGCTTAAAATACATTACGAAAGCTCTCAAATTTCCTCTAATTCCTCAACTTTCTCAAATTCTTTAAAATCAATTTCTAATTGAATATACCTGAAATATTATAAATTTATTTAAAATCCTAATTAAATACTACAAATTTTTAAAAATTTTAATAAACTATCTTAAAATTATAATTGAATATATGATAATTTTAAAAAAAAATCACCTAAAATCCTGATTCATTAAAAAAATTAAAATCCTTAAAATCCCGAGGACTCAAGCAACACTTGTTTTATAAGCACCGTCTTCTTCCTCTGCGCTTCCGTTCGCACTTAGCAATAGCATCTCTCTTGTGCCCAGCGAGTCTTTGCGTTTCTCGACCAATCCGCGCCAACTGTAATCCCACTCGATTTCTGCCTTTACTTTCTCTTCACGCACAACATTTTGTTCATGAAAACCCTAAGATTTATTCTATTTTTTTTCAATTTTCCTAATTTTTTTTTTTACAGGTTTAAGCTGGGCTAGGGTTTTAAGGTCTCGAATCGAATTGGTATACATTAGAGAAACTCCCAGGTACCGAAATTCTCTTTGAGAAAGTTTGGGAATTGGAAATTTATAAACGAAAGTTTAAATCTTTATGTTTAAGTGTTGAATTTAATCAGTTTGGACTTGTGAAAGTTGAAACCGCACTGGTCTGAATCTGAAAACGAACAAAAACTCGAATTTTGATTATTTTCGGCCTGTCTTCTTCGTACGAATCGAAAGGTTTGGGATTCTCGTTGTTTTTTGTTTTAATGCGATTTTCTAATTATTACCATATGCTAATAGAGTGATGGGTACATTTTGGATTTGCATTTATGCGTCCCTGTTCTATGCGTTTGGTCATTTTTTTGGTATTAGGATTTGTTATATGATTTTGAAGTGAATAAGTCATGCATGCTGATGGAAGAATGAGTTTCTTTATCTTCACTCGGGGCTCACCATTTTGTGCTCATTCGGGTTTATAGCGTTGAAGCTGAATTGGTAGGGCGGCATGGGATTTGATAACGAGTGCATATTGAATATCCAGTCTCTTGCCGGGGAGTACTTTTGTCCGGTTTGTCGTCTGCTTGTTTACCCAAATGAAGCGCTACAGTCGCAATGTACTCATCTCTACTGCAAGCCCTGTTTGACATACGTTGTGAGCACCACCCAGGCTTGCCCATATGACGGCTACTTAGTGACAGAAGCAGATGCCAAGGTCCTTCCTTATACAACCTTGGTTGTAGCAAAATCTTTTATCTTTTTTGTCTGTTTATTGATAAACCTTGACACAATCAATGCAGCCACTTACTGAGTCAAATAAGGCACTCGCTGAAACCATTGGAAAAATACCAGTTCATTGCCTTTTCCACAGGAGTGGATGCACATGGCAGGGACCATTATCCGAGTGCACACCTCATTGTTCTGGATGTGCCTTTGGAAATTCCCCTGTAGTATGCAACAGGTGTGGAGTCCAAATTGTACATCGTCAAGTGCAGGAACATGGGCAAACTTGCCCTGTAAGTATTTTCATTTGTTTTTCTTTTTTTAAATTTTCAACCGTTTGGAATTGAGACTTATTTGATTTTTATGGTTATCTTTCAATTATAGGGTGTGCAGCCAGCGCAGCAGGCACAGAGTGCTCTAGACACTTCAGCTTCTGGCACATCAGCAGCTACTGCTGATCAAACCCAGGCTGCGATTCAGACAGGAATACCTACATCTCAGGCCTTGGTTTCTCAAACTACAACTGCACCTGGATCTGATCCAAATCAGAAAGCAAACTCAAGTTCTCAATCTCAAGCGGATGTGCCGTCTGCTGACCAATGGTACCAACAGCAGCAACCATATCAACAGTACTACCAGCAGTATCCTGGATATGACCCATATCAACAGCAATATCAGAACTACTATCCATATCAACAGCCAGCGGTTCCACAATCACAGCAGGCTCAGCCACCATATGGGACTGTTCAGAATCAACCTCAGACATACTTGCAACCTCAGCCCCAAACTCAACTTTCGCTACAGCCTCCAATTTCTCAAGCTCAAGCTCAACCACGACCCCAAATTCAGCCTCCAAATGGCCAGGCTCCTATTGCGGCTCAAACTCAAAATCAGGTACAAGCCAACCAACAGCAGCAAGTCCACCCTACAGTGCAGACATACCCAGCAGCTCATGGGCAGCAACAGCCATATTACCAAGCTCCACCCCATTCACAACCTCATCCTCAACAGGTGCAAGTGCCTCCATATCAGCAGCCCCAAATTCAGCAACATACCCAGGCCCAGCTCCACCCACAGCACCATTCCCATTCTCAGTCTCAACCTCAGCCACAGGCACAAGCTCAACACCAACCCCAACTTCACCCTTCTCAGCCCATGAATGCTGCTGTCCAGCCTCAGGCACATCCATCATCTCATGCTGTGTCTGGAAATAACTCGTATCCCCCACCTCACCTTTACCAGCCAGTGCAGTCAGGAGCCCCACAACAACACACCATGCACGTGCAATCTCAAGGCATGCCTCACTCTCAGTTACAGACTCATGTTCAAGTACAGGGTCAGCTCCCTCAACAACCCCCACTTGTGCGGCCACCCTCGTCTCTTACAACAATTCCAAACCAGCAGCAGCCAGCTTTGTTGCCTTCACCTGGTCAAGTCCAAAACATCAAACCTGCACAACAGCAGCCAGTTCCCTCTTATGCTCAGCAACCTGGAAATTTGGTCTACCAGCGCCCGCTTATGCAGGCAATTCAACAACCGATGCTTCAGCAATATTTCCACCATCAGGCATACGTACAGCAGCAACCATCTACACAGTTACGTCCGCAGGGCCAATCTCATTCATTCCCTCAACATAATCATGCCTCTATGCAGTCTCAGCAGAACATTGCATTGTCTCAGGGCATTCAACATACTCAGTCTAATCTTGTAGGAAGGCCTATGATGCCAAGTCATGCAGTACAACCTCAGCCCTACGCACAAACTGCTGGGCAAGTGAGGCCAATGCATCCTTCTGTAAACCATCCATCTACAGATCAGAATAATGTTGTCAGAACAAACAACCCAGTGCAATCTGGAGCAAACTCGAGGCCAACTATGTCTGAAAGGCAAACTGAGAAAGAATCTGAGTCATCAAATCAGAAGGTTGCAAATGGCGATGAACTTAAATATGTCAATTCCGAGATGGGTATGAAGTCCGCTGATGATGAGCATAAACCTAGTGGTGAAGATAAACCTAATCAGGGGGATACATCTTCTAAGGAGATTCCAGAATCTAGGGGCTTGCTGGGGGCAGATCCAGATTTCCATGCACTTGAAAATGGAGAGTTTGTAGGTAACCCAACATTGAAGAAAGAAGGTGTGGATAGCACTATGGAGCACTCAAGTAACGGTAAGTTGGGTGAAGCTGTAGCTGAGGTTGCAAAAGAAATCTTATCGGAAGAAGCTCAACTTCGTGAAGAACAGGGTCAAAGGTTGCAGAAGGATGAGGGTTCGCAAGCTGTATCTACTTCAGCTCCAACTGGTCAGGTACAAGCTGGTGGCTCTGCACAACCCTCACATCCTGTACCAATACATCATGGACCTACTATACTCCCCCAAAGGCCTGGTGCACCCCCTCCAGGACCTCCACATCATACACAGGGGCCTGGGCACCCCTGGACTCATTTAAGACCTCAGCGACCTTCACATGTACCCGGACAACCTTTTCATCCATCCGAGCATTTGCAGCTACCTGGTGCCAACCCAGGTTTTGGACCATCTTCTGGAAGGGGGGGAGGTCATTATGGTCCTCAAGGTGTACTACCTCCTTCCCATACAGGGGCTCCCAGGATGCAAGGTGAACCTGTTGGAGGCCCTCCATTTGGTGGAATGATGGCAAGAGCAGCACCATATGGCCCTGACGGTCCTAGGGGTCACCAGCGGCCTGCCTTTCAAATTGATCAGGGAGCAATTGGACAGCCATCTGGAATCCCCCCAAATATGTTGAGAATGAATGGAACTCCAGGCCTTGACCCCTCATCAACTCATGGGTTGAGGGATGAAAGGTTCAAGGCTTTTCCAGACGAGCGATTGAATCCCTTCCCGGTAGATCCAACTTTTCGTGGTATTGACCGGGTAGAGTTTGAAGATGATCTCAAGCGATTCCCTAGGCCTTCGTATCTGGATTCTGACCCTGTTTCAAAATTTGGGAATTCTTCATCAAGGCCATTTGATAGGGGACCTCATGGGCCCAAGTATGATATTGGTCAGAATACAGATCCTGTTGCTGGAGATACTGGAAGAATGGAGCCTTCTCGCAGTCATCCAGATTTTGTTGGACGACACCTTATGGATGGTTTGGCTCCCCGAAGCCCAGTTAGAGATTACCCTGGCATCCCATCTCATGGGTTTAGAGGCTTTGGCCCTGATGATTTTGATAGAAGGGAATTTCATCGGTTTGGTGATCCACATGGAAATTCATTCCGCGAAGGTAGGCTTTCTAATTTTTCTAGTCATTTTCGTCGGGGTGAGTTTGAGGGCCCTGGTAATATGCAAACTGTTGATGGGCACCCTGGTCATCCTCGGAGGGGAGATCATTTGGGTCCTCAGAACTTGCATAGTCATTTGCATTTGCGAGAACCTATGGGTTTTGGTGATCGTCATTCACGCCTAGGAGATATGACTGGGCCTGGGAACTTTGAATCATTTCGAGGCAACAGGCCAAGTCATCCACGTCTTGGTGAACCTGGATTTAGGAGCAGTTTTTCACTTCAAAGATTTCCAACTGATGGAGCTTACACAGTTAAGTATTACTTCAAGTATCTGTATGTGTTAAGTGATGCTCTTCTGTTTTCATTGTTAATACAGCTTCCATTGTGATATTTTATTGTATTTGATTTATGGTCCAATTTTTCGATGCTGTTTATATCTTCAGGGAGATCTAGAGTCTTTTGATCACTCAAGGAAAAGGAAACCAGCTAGTATGGGATGGTGCCGGATATGTAAAGTTGATTGTGAAACAGTTGAAGGCTTGGACTTGCACTCACAAACAAGGGAACACCAGAAGATGGCGATGGAAATGGTGTGAAGCATCAAGCAGAATGCCAAAAAGCAGAAACTGTAAGTTCTTTGAGCACATCATAGTTACTTATTGGCTTTTGATAAAAGAAAAAAAAGTTACTGATTCGCTTCATATTTGATTTTGATTATAACATTATCATTCTGTTCAATCTTTGTCTAAGAAGTCTGATGCTTCGTTTTTTTCTTTTTCTTCATTTTGTAGAACCTCTGGTGATCAGTCCTTGGTAGAGGGTGCAAATAAGTCAAAAAGTCCGGCTTTGAAGGCCGAGGAGAAAAGCATTGATGGATGATGGTGTGCTGCAATGTGGATCTCTATGGTTGCATTTCACTTGGGGACCAATTGTTTCTTTGGTATTATTGCGTTAGCAATATAGGTGATGCACCCTTCCATGCCTCTTTTTTCTAGATTCGGGGTGGTTTATGCTAGTTTTGTCATTTCAGGTTGCTGCCATGTTAATGGAGATGGTATTTGGAACTGGAGTTCAATGGCAGTTAAGTTTGTTGTTTTTGACTCTCAAGTTTTCTACTTTCACTCGGATTGTTTTTTGTTGACCTTGTCATTGTCAATCCAAAAGTGGTATATTGCTATCACTTCCTTTTGCATTTGGTACCATTGAGATGGCATTGGTTTATAGCATATGGGTATGTATGCTTGACTCTCTTAATCTTATATATTAAGTTTATTCAACTGGACCGGCAATGTATTAAGTTTAGTTTTACTGCTCTCAGATATGTACTTATGGTTATAAAGGGTATCATTGCTAAATAGCTCTCAAAAGGTTGAAACAAGGACATTACCTTGAACATTGAAGCTAATTTAAACTAAGCATTTTTCTTTATGCTCTAGGTAACTTTGTGAATTTTACATTATTGTCAATCGTTTCATTTCGGTTTCTACAAGAATATCTGTTTTAAATGTAAGGAGACTTGTGCCCTCTGACCTGCTTCATCATTTCTATTATAGGCAACTTTTTATAGTATGATATTGTGTAATCAACCTGATCCTTGGTCTTCAATCTAGTAGAGAGTGGACCGACCACATTAAGCAGATTAGTTATCACTAACATTTCGTCATAATTTTACCCAGTAAGTTGGAAGTGTTAAAGTAGTTTTTACTAAAAGATGAGGATTTCTGTAATGCGAATGAACTTAGAGAGAAATAAGTGTCTATCTCTATTCTTTAGTACCACAGTAGGCTTCAAGACTAAATATTTAAATTGTATAGGCTTATAGAAGGCAATGACTGGAGTACATTTTACTATTTAGATTATACAGGATTTTGCAATCTGATTTCTAAGAAAAAGTGATAGAATTTAAGGAATTAGGTATGTTGGAGCCATGATAAATCATATATCCAGTCTTTTCTTTTTTATAGTAGTTAGCAGAGACGGCCTCGTGATATTGCTTGTTGGACTGCAGCATCTATTATATTATTTACTGTTTTGGTGGCTTGTGAATCGACATTTATTTGAAGGATATTTTGTTTAGCTGATAAACTATAGTGACAAGTATTTGGAATATCGTCAACCTAATTGAAGAATGTGGTCTGCACAATTCATCTGTATATTATTCTGCAGCTTGGTCTTGTGCTAGTTGGTGTAGGACAGAAGCGGAAGCTACTGTCTATTTGCTGTAGCACAGCAAAACACACTAGGGAGTAGAGAAGACAATGTGCTAGTTGGTGGCTTGTGATCACTGAACAACATCAAAACAACAAAGAAAACAATGAGATCCTTAAAAAGATAGAAAGATTACTGTCTAATTTTCGGAATAACAGACCAGCATGAAAAGTCTCGTAAGGGTAGATATACTAGGGTTACATACATCATCCTAGCCTTGATTACTTCACTATTCAATTGGGCCTCCAAAACTTACTTACAAACTCACAAAACTAGCGCAACAAATTAAAAAGACTAGGAGTAGAAGCACTACTATCATCTAGAAATCAGCATAAGACATAAAGATAAAACAAGTCAAATAAAAGGTAAAGTAAATACCAAAACTAAGTTGGCTAGCCTTTTAATCTTGGAAAGCCTTGTAGATCTTATCTTATTGTTTTACGTTTGGGGAAAGGCTTACAATTTCCTAAGTTCAGTTTTTATCGTTATTGTTATTTGTTTTACTACTGACTTGACTATTTATTCTTAACACTGTCATGTAATTTTTAGCGTGAAAGGTCGATTTTGTTGTTGATTTTTCTTTTTGGTGGAATTTCTCTTTTTCTATACTAGATCTTTTCAATTCGACCCGTCTTTTTTTGGCGAAGGAGACTCCATAAGGGCTGAAAGTTTAGCGGAAAAGGTTTACTCTGTCATCTGTTTTTGAGGTGGTAAGGTTGTGTTTGTTGGCAAAATTTGCTTCTCAGCGTTGATTTTATAACCTGTTGATATGTTGGGATTCATCTGTTTCTACATATTTACGAAGAGTATATTTTCATCTTTCGAAGCAGTAGGATAAATCTTAGGAAACCTTAGGAGACTGGTAAAATCTGATAACCTTCTATACACTAGGCATATACTTAGATCCTAACTTTAAAGGGCCACAGGCTTACATTTAAAGATGTCTACTTGGATTGTTAGGGTTAGGGATCATGACTCATCAATTATTTTGCATCAGGACAGTTTGATGGATAGTTTTCTTTGTATTACGATCCCTCCTGAAATATTTTTCAAAATATAAAAGTTCAGTAGCTTCCCCCGAATTAGTGAATTAGGCAGGATCCTTTTGTACGGAATAACAAAGCAAAGAGCGAGTCAGGATAGTTTTCTTTATATTACCATCACCCCTGCCATTGGCGGGCAGCACCCCAAGCACACCACATTCTTAATGCTTGTCTTATACGTTCACTAACAATAAATTTTATTTTGTTTGTATGCTGGCTTTTGAATGAATTTTGCAATTATTGTCCCCTTGGGGTATAGCAAACACTTCCTATCAATTTTCCATGCGTATAGTTTTGGGTTTATGTTGAATTTTTGAGGCAGCCTTGCTGGTTGAACTCGAATATTTTTATTTTTTCTATGTTGGTAGCAATATTCTTGTCTATTTTAATACCTGTATAGTCTCTCTCGCTCTCTCTCGCTCTCACACACACACAAAAGTTAGACAATACATCTTTTCACTCTCACCTACCACTTTAATTTTCTTGTTTTCCATCAAAGTTTGGGTGGTAGAGGAAGGGAAGAAATGGCGTGTTTCGTCCTTCTCTTTCCTAGTTTCGATTGTGAATGCAGTATACCAAATCTTAGTTTTGTTCAACAGTATTACCATGATTTCTATGAATAACTTTAGGCACGATTCAAACCCTGAATTCTTTATATTATTGCACGTAATAATATCTGCCTAATGCTAACCCTTCCCTTGTATAATCCGGAATATAGCAACTTAAATACTAAAACACAACTTCGGAAATCGCTTAGAAAATTTATCCTTGCTTTCAACAACTGTCCTTACTCTAGATGCTTTAGCCTGTACATGAACATAAGCACCGAAATGTTTGAATTTGATTGATTTTGTCAGCTGTGTTTGAAATGTAATCGCCATTGAACCAATACTTGTCTCGGAAATACACTTCTTTGCTTAAAAATCTATGACGGGGTCGTAAAGGAACAAGAATAGCACCCTGATGTGATCATAGTAGCCTTACAAAGGAACAAGAACAACATAAAAGAATAATACGAATAATGGCGAAAACCTGGTTATTTTGTTCGATGATTCCTAACGAGCTTAAATGTTTGATAAAGATTGCAGTGTGATGCAGGGATTCTAGCATGATTGCAGAGTCAATGTAGGATGCTTGCTTGGCAAGCGGTAGATCGGACGGTTATTCGGGCGATGGAGACTCCTTACCTTACAAATTTCATTGCCTTTGAAGGCATTTTGCTTAATCTGCGTTTTGTTTTGCAGTGATGGGTGTATGGTATGGTTGTAAGCTTTAATTGTTTGATTTTCTGAGACATTCTTGGGCAATGCTATATTAATATTTTGTTTTAACTGCACTTCTATTTACTTCCTTTGCTTATCCTTTTAAGACTGACTGAAGATTATTAGACCAGAACATCACGTGACGTTGAATCTATTTTCTATTTTATGCAAGTTAATCTCGTCGTTTGAGATATTTTAGGTGTAAACTAATATTCTTCATTGTAATTAAACTCATAATTGTTGGCATACTGTTAAAGACCTTTAAAACTTAAGCCATTGATGTTAGCTAATTGATGAATGGCCGTTGAGTGATGCGTCGGAGTAACCTATGTTCGAGTTCAAAAAAATTCTCCGATATAATAAAAAAATTTAAACTTGAGATTCCGCAAAATGTATTTATTTCACCTTGCAATAGATGTTCCAAATTCGATTTCTCATTCCACAACATCTTTATAACGTCGAGGTTTTAAGTTCAAATTTCTCAATTGCTCAAAATATCTTCACCAAACAAAAAATGGGAACAAAGATTAGTTTTCTTCCAAAATCAGTGGTTAAAAAGTAGGGGTCAAGATTCGACCACACGCAATGCGCGCGTTGTACCAGATCACGAATAACCTTTTTTCCCAGGGTTTACAGCCTTTAATTAATTTCACGAACCACATCACATGACATGGAAACGCCACCAGACCGTCCAGGGGCAATTCCGTCATTTCATAATTCCGGATCCATAAACCAGTGGGCCATACCGTATCCAGCTGTATCCGTAATTCTAAATTCAAAATCTTCGTTTTAGGCTCTAAAATTTAAACCGTTTTTCACACCCATCAAATTACGCGGCGCCCATCCAGCCGTTGATTCTCCGGATCCCGGTTAATTTAAACGGCCAATGAAAATCCCAAAAATATAAAAATATAAAAAATTAGCAAAGAGCCGTTATAGGGTACACCTCACTCCACTCTATATATCCTCCTCTCAGTCACTCTCTCCCTCATTCTCCGCCGCTGCGCCTCTCTCTCTCTGTAAAACTTCCTCTCTCTTTCTCTCTCTAGATCTGCGGATCTGCTCTGCGGCGAACCCTAGAACCGAAAATGCGTGAGATCCTTCACATCCAGGGAGGCCAATGCGGCAACCAGATCGGTGCTAAGTTCTGGGAGGTGGTGTGCGCCGAGCACGGCATCGACTCCACCGGTCGCTACCACGGCGACTCCGAGCTCCAGCTTGAGCGGGTTAATGTCTACTACAACGAGGCCAGCGGTGGCCGCTATGTTCCCCGCGCCGTGCTCATGGATCTGGAGCCTGGAACCATGGACAGCATCAGATCTGGGCCGTATGGCCAGATCTTCCGCCCTGACAACTTCGTTTTCGGTCAATCGGGTGCTGGGAACAACTGGGCCAAGGGTCATTACACCGAGGGTGCAGAGTTGATCGATTCTGTTCTCGATGTGGTTCGTAAGGAGGCGGAGAATTGCGACTGCTTGCAAGGTATGTGTAAACTCTGAAATGATTAAACCCTAACTGTAATTTGTGAGATTTAGAGATTGGGGGTTTCATTTCTGTGTTGGTTAAATCCTAATTTACTGAATTGACGAAAACCTGATTGTATTTTGTGAGAGTTGGAGATTTGGGGTTTTCATTTCTGGGTCGATGGTCGATTAAACCCTAATTTTTATTTGTTTTGGTGTTGCAGGGTTTCAGGTGTGCCATTCGTTGGGTGGTGGTACTGGATCTGGGATGGGAACGCTTCTGATCTCGAAGATCAGGGAGGAGTACCCAGATCGGATGATGATGACTTTCTCTGTGTTCCCATCTCCCAAGGTCTCAGATACTGTCGTGGAGCCTTACAATGCTACTCTCTCGGTCCATCAGCTTGTGGAGAATGCTGATGAGTGCATGGTTCTTGACAATGAGGCCCTCTACGATATTTGCTTCCGCACACTTAAGCTCACCACCCCCAGCTGTAAGTTGGCTCAGATCTATCTTCTCAGTTGTTTGGTTGAGAATCAATTTTGTGCAAGTATTTGTATGCTTATGCATCTTGATTTGCTCTAGAAATTTGACTATGGTTACTATTCTCTGTTGAATGATTGATTGTTGCATGATTTGAAAGTCCAATTGTGTTTTGCTTTTGAGTTTGTTCATTATGTGATACATTTGTTATCATATTTATTGTTGAGTAATGCGTCCTCATCCATTTCTTAAGAAAAATGTGTTTTGGTGATGAATGAATCTGTCTAAATTTTGTGAAAGTAAAGTGAGGTGTCATTTGGTTTTGAAGTGAAAATGAGGTTTCATGCTTTCAAAGCTTGAATTTGATTTCGAGGGAAAATGCGATTTGGTGAGCACTATCGAATGGTTCGCTGCTTCTTTCATTGTTTATTGTTGGGTTTTGAAAGCATGATTTGTTGTTTATGTGCGAAACATATAGTACTATTTGAACTATTTACCCATTAATCATTGATGTGTGCTTCCTCAAAAGACTATGAAAGCTGATTTCTGTTTTTGTCTTTGATGTTTGCAGTTGGTGATTTGAATCATTTGATCTCTGCAACAATGTCTGGAGTTACCTGCTGCCTGAGGTTTCCTGGACAGCTCAACTCTGATCTGCGCAAGCTTGCTGTTAACCTGATCCCCTTCCCCCGTCTCCACTTTTTCATGGTGGGCTTTGCTCCTCTTACTTCACGTGGCTCTCAGCAGTACCGGGCCCTGACTGTTCCAGAGCTCACACAGCAAATGTGGGACTCCAAGAACATGATGTGTGCTGCTGATCCCCGACATGGACGTTACCTAACAGCATCAGCCATGTTCCGTGGTAAGATGAGCACCAAGGAAGTCGATGACCAGATGATGAATGTGCAGAACAAGAACTCTTCCTACTTTGTTGAGTGGATCCCCAACAATGTCAAGTCAACTGTCTGCGACATCCCACCAACCGGTCTTAAGATGGCATCAACCTTCATCGGGAACTCAACATCCATCCAGGAGATGTTCAGGAGAGTGAGCGAGCAGTTCACTGCCATGTTCAGGAGGAAGGCTTTCTTGCATTGGTACACTGGTGAAGGCATGGACGAGATGGAGTTCACTGAAGCCGAGAGCAACATGAATGATCTGGTTTCTGAGTACCAGCAGTACCAAGATGCAACAGCTGATGAGGAGGAATACGAGGATGAGCAGCAAGAGTACGAGGAAGAAATGTAATTTCTTCGTCAAAGCAATAGCGCGCTTCTTTTAATATCGACTTTCCAGTTTAGTGCGTTTGTGTAGCATGTGAATGAATGAATTTCTGGTTGAGAGAGAGATTGATGGACGAGTTTTAATATCAACTTCCAGTTGCTGCTCCGTGCTGTAACTTCGCTTATTTTCGACATTATGGATTTGCTGTAGTGATGATATATTTGCTTTCTGGCATTTGTTCTTTGCTTGTCTCTCTCTTCAGTAGTAATAGCGAGTTTTGGCATACCATCGACGACAATCGGGGATATATCCCTCTTTGACAACACGGATATTGCTTGTAGCATTCAGGAGGCAAATTTGTATCCCAGCTGCTATGGGCCGGTGCTCGTATGGATACATTACTTCATTGTTTTATGGGGCGTTGCGACAACCTAATAAAAAAAAGGGGTTAAGGGCCTTGAACAACTTTGATAAATTAAGTGCTGTTTAAGATGGAAGCTCAGATCAAAAACAAAAATGTAGGTACCCAAAGATTCTCGGAGTTTACCATGAATGTTGGTAAGCTCAGATCCAGCTGCACGATGTTGGAAATGGTTCAAAATTCGAATTCACCCTCCTCCGTCGAAGATATCCAAGCGTTACTGAGCGCAGATCTATGGCCTCTCTTTCTCGTTGTTTAATCAAATCTATCATCTCTGCTTTCAGTTCGACTTCCTTCTCCCTTCTCAAAGTATCCCCTCATGTGGTAGTCACTATACCACTGTTCCTTTTGCAACAGTGTGTACACTTTTTATATTTTTCACATGCTAGTCACGTGACTACTTATGACAACAAAAATTTTGTATACACTATACGCTCATTAGTTTATGGTTACACTCATCACATGTAAGAAATAATAATTTTATTGTAATGTTAAATGGGGGTCTTACCTTTAAATGGTTATTAGACCATATCTAAAAATCCCTAAATTCGACCGGGTACGTACTCTCTTTGTTATCAATGGGGGTCGTATTTTTTTTCTCAAAAATCCCTAAATTTGAAGGGGTTGTTCAAGAGGAAAGTTAGCAAATGTTAGATCCCAATCCTGGTTTGAACTCCCAAGGATACATTTTATAGGATCACCGATTCTGTTTTGGGGCTACCATTTGACCTGGATCCCAAAAGTACGTTGCCACCTTGTGTGAACTTGAACTACATGGGGAAAGGATTAAGGGTGGGGTGCTCTACTAAACTAAGTAGTATAGGATGTGCTTAATATAACTTCACACAATTCTGTGAACACTCGTTTACAAGCTCACGCTACTCAAATCAGCTGATAAAAAAATTAATCTGTCATTAATGTGGGATATCTCCTACAAGAATATTACAGTATAATGATATTCCTCTTCATTTGAAAGTGAGAGGTCTTATGTTCGAATCTCGTTGACGGCGAATTCGATACCAAATTAGTTTACTCATTATGTGGTTTTAGCCGAACTCCCCATCCGCTCAGTGTAAAAATATCAATATATTCATAAAAATAATAATAATAATAATAAATAAAATTAAAAAAAAAAACTCACCAAAGGAAATAGGGGTATTTTAACAATGGACTTGGATTGTCTGCCCTCCCATTTCGGTGCCCTCCTCGTGCCCTCCTGTTTGTGTAGGCACGGTTAAGCCATGTCAACATTTTATATTACTATTTCTTTTTGTTTTATTATTTTTATAAAAAAATAATATAAAATGTTGACGTAGCTTAACCGTGACCACACAAAACAGAAGGGTTCGGGGAGGGTATCGAAATGGGAGGGTAGACAATCCAAGTCCTTTTTAACAATTCAAGAAAACTGACGAGGTCATTCCGTAATAACCACAAGCCTCTCATACGAGTTCCGCCTCCCCAGCAAAACACAATTTACCCAAAAAAAGCCGAGAA